TTCAGCTCTCCCCATGTCTAAAGTCTATTTCCCAAGTGCCCTGCCCCAGAGGTGGCTACAGCTCAGTGCCAGGCAAGTTGTTCCCATGTGGCGTTATGTGCATCTGTTCCCCAGCTGCCCCGCCCCAGAGGTGGCTGCATGTTAGCTCCACATAAAAAAAAAAAATCAAGTCCCCCTTCAAAGAAAATATCATTTTTCTCTGAAAAGTCAAGTCTCTCTGGGTGGTGCCAGATTGGTTCTCGCTGACAGCTCTCCCTGTCCAATGTGAGCTCACCAGACACCTCCCCCAGCCAATGGTAGGGGTGGGTGGGTCTCCCCAGCACTTAGACGGGACCCAAGACCTTGATACCTGATTGACAGGGGCTGTCAGTGGAAGAGGCATCTGCTGCGAGGGAAGGATGGACCGGGCTGGCTCGGTGCCCCCAGGCAGGGTGAGTGACAGGACCTGGGCTCTGGTGTGCTGCAGGGGAAGGACCAGGGACAATCCCCTGGGGAGGTAGCTGCCCGTTTCCACCGCGCCGTGCACTTTCTCTTCCCTCCTCTCCGGGTTCTGGGCACGTCTGTTTCCTCGTGTCACGCACAGGATGTCCCACGCTTGCTGTCTCCCCGCCACGGCATGCGTAACCCTTTCCGACGGGGGCAGCCCGGGGGCTGGGCAGCAGGGAAAGCAGCTGTGGGAATTGCCAGCCCCCCGCTGCTGCGCCCCCAGGGGGACTCTGTCCTGGTCCCTGCTGAGTGAGCAGAGCAGCTGTCTGCCAGGGCTGCGCCTGCCTGTGCCACCCATGGAAGCTTTGTGTTCCTGGGCTGCGCCAGGGCCCGGACCCCCTCGAGGGGACAGGCCCATGGCCCGTCCCCTGCCCCCTGCGCTAGCCCCACTTGTTCTCACAGCACCTGGACTGGCACAGGGGCTGTACCTGTCCCCCACCCCTGCTGCCCAGGCCCCCCGCTCCTGGCCACTGGGAAGGAGAGGAAACTGGGGTAGGGCCCCCCTGTGGAATTAACCCGCCCAGTGTAATTAACTCCTGGACTGTTAATTACCCAGGTGCCAGCTGCAGGTCCCGATCTCAGCCCCCCATGGGCATGTGCCCTATGCCGGCGCCATCACTGGGCCCTGAGCTTGCCTTGAGTGGGTAGCGCCGCTTGTGCTGAACCCTGGCCTGGGTGGGATGCGCCCGCCGGACCCACTTTAACCCCTCCCCCGATTCCTGTCCCCTCCCACGGGGCGCTCTGGGGTTCCCCCCAGCAAAATAGCTATTGTCATGTTCAGGGGCCCTCTCCCCGCTGCTGTGTCATAATGGAGGGGGGGCTTTCCTCCCCAGTCCCTCACCTGGCAGCCCCAGCCCCAGGTCCCGTTGTGCCCAATGCCATTTGCCTGCCCTCAGGACAGTTCTGGGGTCCCCAGTGACCGGGGTGCGCAGCCTGTTCCCCGTCTGGCCCCGAGCCAGGGCCGGTCCTCTCTGGGGGATACCGAGCCCCAGGCTGAATTAATGACCCCTGGGAGCCACCCGCATTACAGCAGCATGACTGGGGAATGGGCAGAAACCCAGCACCCTCACACCCCAATGGCACTGCCCCAGACTAGCCCTGGAGGACTGGCCAGCCCTGTCCCCTCTCTCAGCTCAGGTCAGTGGCCCATCAAGGCCAGTAATGAAGATTTTCCATTTGCCCCACTGGTGTGTGTGTCATGTGCCCTATACTACTGATTCCCAAAGGGGATTTTTCCAGTCTAATGATGATCGCGGCAGGCCTCTGGGATCTACCCTGCCCATGAATTAGTTGCAATCTCCTTCCTCTTGCCCTTTGTTTACTGGAGTGCTGGGAAAAGAGGAAAGATTTTTATACCCAAACATTCAAGAATGTACTGAGCCTGCAGCTGCCACAGCTGCTAATGGATGCTGAGCAGGGACCACATGGCTGAACTACTGGACCCCCAGGGCTGGGCACTGTTTGGTCACCCCAAAGGTGCCCTGGAATGTGGGGAAATCTGGGGGGAATGAAGGGCCCTGACCTCTGTTCCTGGAGCTTTCTGGTAGCAGCTGGGGCTGGTATTTGCGGGGGCGGGGTGGTTGCTGCAATACCGGGAGTAGGCCTGGTCCCCCAGCTTTCACCCGGTGGTCTCTGCACACGCCCTGCGAAGGAGGCTTTGCAAGTGTGTGACTCACAGGAGTGGGTGGTTGTGGGGTTTGGTTTTTTGGGGAGTTGTGTGTTTTTTATTTAATAATAACCAAAATGAGCCCATCTGGGCCCAATCTCCAGCTGTGCCACTGAATCCCCGTGGCACTTAGGGGTTGTCACTGGGCCTCGGTTTCCCAGTGGAGTCCGTACCCTTCTTTTTGGCTACACTGTTGATTTGAATTGTGAGCTGTTCAATGGAGGGGAATCACTTGCTGTATGTCTGCAGCAACTGGCCCAATGGGGCCCTGACCTCGGTCGGGGTCTGGGCCGTGCCTGGCCCAATAGGGCCCTGATCTCAGTGGGGGCCTGGCCAGCGCCTGGCCCAACAGGGGCCCTCAGTTGGTCACAAGGGGCCTCTGATATTGCTGGCAGCCGAACTCAGCAGGACCTTCGTACTCCACAGAGCATCCCTGCAAGAACAGCAGGGGCCCGGGAGCATCCCCCAGCAGCCCAGGCACAGGGTGTGGGTGGAGCTGACTCCTGGAGTCTCCTGTCTCCCTGCCTTCTGCTCTGCCCCCTGTATCTGGGGGCATGTCTGGCCACTGCTCTTGAAATGGGACTAGAGGTTTTGGGGTGCCTGAAGCATGACAGCTCAAAGGGGATCCTGTGCCAAGCTCCCCTCCATCGGGGCCTCATTAAAACACTTGGGCACTGGAAATTTTGGACCCCATGGGATGGGGAGAGTAGCTCAGGGCACATTTGAAAATGTGTCTGTGGGGGGACCCAGCCTTCTGGGTTCTCTCCCTGACTCTGGAGGATGTGGGGGTCTCATGGTTATGGGGGCTGGGAGCCAGGACTCCTTGGTTCTCTCCCTGGTGTTGAGAGGGGAGCTGGGTCTCGTGGTTATGGAGTGGGAAATTTTGGACCCCATGGGATGGGGAGAGTAGCTCAGGGCACATTTGAAAATGTGTCTGTGGGGGGACCCAGCCTTCTGGGTTCTCTCCCTGACTCTGGAGGATGTGGGGGTCTCATGGTTATGGGGGCTGGGAGCCAGGACTCCTTGGTTCTCTCCCTGGTGTTGAGAGGGGAGCTGGGTCTCGTGGTTATGGAGTGGGGGTGGGGGGTCTGGGAGCCAGGACTCCTGGATTCTCTTGCTGGTGCTGGGAGGGAAGTG